AGATTAAGTCCCCAAAATTTCAGCCCCGTAGCTTTTGTAGGTCCTGAGATGAAAGTGCGTGACAGAAGCACACACAGACACACAGACAACCCCTCGTCAATATGCGTTTTTCGCATTGCATTGCTGCAAAAAACGCATAAAAAGCGCATCGGCATGATACCGTGTAGGAAGATGAACATAAAATATGAATACTCAAATCATCGAACAGCTTCTTTTTATGTGAGTTAATCCCACAATAGAAATCACATACCATCATTCCCGAAATGCGCTTTCAAAATGGGTTTCAAAATTGCCTTGGCTGGGAAAAAGAATCCAGTTTTACTGTTGTGAATGATATCTACAAAAAATAATTCGGGGATGTGAATTTGAATTTTTTTTTCCACGACGATAAGGCAATAACTCAAACATCGCCTTCACAATTATAATAAGCGTGGCCATAAATCAATCGCGTTAGACCACAATCCTCAGCTAGTTGTACCTGACTATATCAGAAGGAAAGGTTGACGAATAATGTGCATAATGTGCATAATGTGAATAATGTGCATATCCAGAATTTAATAAATGCAATGCTTTTTGTGGATGAGCAAAAAAATTAAAAAAAAAAAATTGTGGTTTGCGCAAATGGCTTTTAGCGAGCATTTTGGTAACATAAAGTTTATTGACCACACTGCTGTTACGATGACGAAGTTACGACGATTGTTACTACGATTTTTCGGATGATATTTGGATGAATGACGATGTTATTGACTGTGCTTGCTGGGGGCGCTGGGATAACCAAAATGCACTTTATCAGCGCAATAAGAGTCCACAGTTTACACTTGGGTCGGTTGGGCTAAAGAAGGCGAAATGCAGCGACACCGCTGCCGACGGAGAACGCTTAATACCGCAATACTTGACACGGAACAATCAACACAGGATTTTACAACAACACTGCAGACTTATATTTTTGCCACAAAAGACGGAACAGATCACAGGATCAAGAGGTCAATCTGCTGTGCGATTCTGGATTGCTCTTTGCTTCTCCTGCGCGCCATCTTTTGCTCACTTTAGGATAAATAAGAATGATAAAATGTTACTAATCTGTTAGACGAAAAACATCTGTTGTCTTTTACACCTTACCAAAAGAAACAGTATGTAATTCCTTTTTCTGGATATGCCCTTTCACCCCAGTCATTCTGTAATAGTTGACTTCTAAAATTTTGTCCTATCAATCTAGCCGCACTCCGAGTCAGTAAAAATTTATATCGTACCTGTGGTTGAACCCCGCCGAGCCTAGTCGTACCGTAATTTAATGATTGACGGACCGTTCCGTTCTGACCCTTCAAAACTGCAGGACTGTTTATCGATTAGGCCAATCATATTTACCAATGATGGCAATTTCCAATTTCGCAGCCAAACACTAGCCTTTTTCTTTTAATTAAATCACCACTTTGGATTCGAACAGTTCCAGGATCGGTGCTTTTGTTGAAACGCAAGAGAACAGAAATCAGTGCACATGGCACGAAGCTGTTTAGAAACCCAACGCCTTTCCAAATTTCTGTTTTTTTTTTTTGCAGAGTATAGCAACTCTCAGCGCTCAATGGAAAAGTACTTGAAGCAATGTTCTGCACAGGAACGAAATGATGGCGTACAGTGGTGCACGTTCGACTTTGAGCGTGAGTTCGGCTACGACTGCTCAAAAGCAACAAATTATGGCTACGACAACGGCAATCCATGCTTTTTGTTCGTTTTTGAAAATGTTAGTGTTTGGTAAATGCTTTTTCACGAGCCATTTTATAATATTAGTGCGAATGAGGAGGACTGCTGATTTCTGATACTAATTTGAGCCACTCAAATAACAGTTTAAGAGTACGGTTGAGTTCAGTTATATTTTTAAGCCAACACAAGCTAATCAACAAAAGGAAACGCCGAAATTCCAGACAGCCACAAAATGCATCTCTAACCATTGACCAGTGACGCAT